GTAGTTTTCTGTTTAGGGAAAATCAAATAACTTTGCATATATGCTCCATCTAATCCAAGTTTATGCAACAGAAGGGGAATGAGCTTGCTTAATATGATGGGAAAGACAGGTGACCTTCTGTTAAGGGTGGGAGTAAGGAACTGCAGTTCAGATCCAAGGGATCTGAAAGATTTCCCCATTGAGTGCTCAGTAAATTAAAACTTTGCTTAAATTCTTGAACTCCCTTCTCCAGAATTTTGCATGCATTATTTTCGTAACAGAATTCACTGGCTGAATCTGCCTGCCACACCCGTGAATTGGGATAAGGTAACCCTTTTAAAAAAAGAATGGTTTGATTTATAGTGAAAAAAAACATGACTCCCAGAAAGTTCAGCACTTGGATAAATAGAAGAGTAATCCAAATGGATAGATGATACTGTATAAATTGTATGAAAAATACAATAAGAGTGAACAAGAAGTGGTTAAAGAGCCAAGTTTAAACCTGATAATCTATGTAGCTGTGGTATGTTTTCTTTATAAGCTTTTTATCTAGTGTGAAGAATTCTCATACGAAAAATGGGAAAATGGGGTAGAAAGCATACTCAGTGCTAATTCTGTCTCTATCTTGATTTTTTCCAAAGACAGTTTTTTTCTGAAGTGCCAATTAATTCTGTTCACATGCCCAGCCTAGCCTGAGTCAGCCCAAGTAAAATCCTGACTCCCTGAAGCTGCCAGCAATCTTACCATCGTGCCAGGTATTCAGCACATGCAGTTTTGATGGAAATTTACTCTGAGGTCTTGATTTCTTGAGTGTCATGAGGTATCTCAGTGTTTTCATCCAAAAGCTGAGGAACAATAACATAGGGACTCTGAGAATTGTTGTCTTATTCTGCTGATGAGAAATGCAAACACAGAAAACTCAAGAATAATATTTATGTACAGCACTGCTTAGGTTATGAATACATATGCCCTGAATATGAAAAATGAGGTGGTATAAAACACACTCATGTTTTCACACACACAGGCCCTCAGTAAAAATCGTCTTTCTCTCACGAGGAGTTTTCTTGCTTGGTACCAGGTACTAATGATTCCTGTCTGCTTAAAAAAGATCCATTAAACTGTCAAACCATCAGGCAAAATCATCATGTCTTTTGAAATAGAGCTTTAATAGGGAGAAAAATAGGAAGGATTTCTGAAATCCCTTTTTTTTTTCTTTTCTATTCCAGCCGAAAATTGACTGGCAGCTATCAGCAAATGGGAGACAGGGAAACTTTCAGAAGTATTTGCCTTCTAGACTGCTATTGTTGTCTGCAGTCTTCTTGATACCAGATTTCTGTTTGTTTCCTGCCTTTTATTGGAAGCTTTTGACTGAAAATATAAGAAATAATATTTGAATTGCTTTTGGATTTCTTATAGTGGTTTTATCTTATTTTTTAAGCCTGTAAGCTGGATGTGTATTTCATTCCTTCTCAGTTTTTGTTTTGCTGCTAAATATCATCTTTGTATTCAGCACAAAGTGGAATGCAAAATAATTAGGCGAGTAATTTGTAAGTCTCCGACTACAAAATAACACTCCCCCTAACATTCTCAGTAATTCCATTTTTAACTAAAGCTTTGACCTGTAGTAGAGATAATAACAAATTGTTTCAATCTTCTCAGAGTTCTGTTTGCATTATAACTTAAAAAACCCATCCCAATCTGCTGAGATTTTTGTTACTTCATGATGATTTGTTCTCACTTAATTCCCAAGGACACCTTAGTTCTTAAATGCTTACAGATTATTTTTTCCCCCCTAACTCTAGTTAAACTCCTCCTCAGCACTACAAAGGGAGCAAAAATCCCCAGTCAAAACTTTTTGATGCTAGATTATCTACATGAAACAAATACTTTTAGGTATTTTGCCATCCTTTGACATTTGAAACCAGACTACCGCCTTCCTACAGGGCTGCTTTCCGAGGCTCACAAACAACTCGGCATTATACAGAGAAGACTCAGATCAGTTTTCTAAACAACATTTTTCATGCCACACCACCCACATAAAAGAGTTTGGGGCTTTCCTCGCCTCTTCAGTCTTGCTGTACTTCCTCTTTTATTCCCGTGTCTCCAGTCAGCGTGGCAATGTGTGGCCTGGAGGCCTGACTTGTGACTCCTTGGATTTGTTGGATGCAATAAGCTGATATACAAATGCCTGGAAGGATTGTCAAGGTATGCTCTCTACACCTAGAAATTGTGGGTTTTGTGGGCTTGAGAAGTGGGAACTCAAGTTCAGGCTTGAATTTTAGGTCCTTCACTCCGCTGTGTTTCTTGTAGCATTAGCATAAAAGGGAATGCTCTGTGTGTGTGTGTGTGTGTGTTAGCATTTCCCAGGGAAAATATCAAAATTATAGCTCCTTTTGAAAGATGGAGCTGTGTCCTGGTATCAGCACAAGCTCTACGAGTGTGGTAAATGGGGGTGACCCTGTGTCAGGACTGTTTGGGTCTGTGAAACACTGTAGTACCATTATTCTGTGTGATGCTCGAGCATTGAGTAGTGAGGTGCAGCTGACAGAAAGGTTGTTCACACCGTGACAGGTCCTGTGCACCAGAGCCCACCCATGGCAGCAGGCAACCAGCCTGGGGAGATGAACCTTTCTGCTGGTGGTTTAGGTCTTTGCTGGGTATAGGTGTAGGACGACTTGTATGAACTGGGAAAAAAAAAAACAAGTGGAGAGAAACAATAAAAGGCTGTGCACAATGCCAGCTGCTACAAGAGGCTGAAGGTTTATTTTCAGAGTATCATTTTTAGAAACATTGCTTCAAATAGTTTCAGTCTAGAGAAAACTGCACCTTATACCTTTTTGTTCTGTTTTTAGAGTGAGTTTTTATGGAAGAATGGGGCTGTTCTGGGTGTTGGACAGGTTAAGCCCTGCGTTTTCAGAAGAGCTCTCTGAAAAGACACTGAACCTTGTCTCTTGTGTTTGCATAGTGGTTCTCACTCTGTGGTGAATAATTCAAATAAAAGTGATGGTGGGCTACAAATAATCAGAAGAGATTTTGTGAGTATACTGTGTAATGGGGGCAGCAGACAGTTACGAGCCTCTTCCAGCTTCATGCCCTCCTTAGGACTGAGCTCAGGTGATGGAAAATTCTCATGAAATTTCCAGAATATAACAAATAATCCCCCAACACCAAATAAACATTCCCTACCCTGGGTGGAACCGATAATTGGAAGTAAAGCTGGAACTCGAAGGAGAAAAACTGCTCCTATTTTTCTTATTTTTAGTGGGTAGCATTGAGAAGCAGTGTGCACAACAGTACTCACGGGGGAGGCTACAAATAGCGAGGTCAATGAGTGAGCTGCCAGTAGTTAAGAAAAAGAGTCTTCTGCATCCAGCCTTCCTCAGGTCCCACCTTCTAAGTTCCTCTGGGAATTTCATGTGGTCCTAAGCTTTGCATGCATGCCATCTGATACCACAGAAGGAGCAAACACCCTTTTCCCTGCGTGGGAGAGCGTTAATTGCTATGTCCGAAGGGCAAACATGTATTCTTCTGGCCAGTGATCAAATGATACTTGAAAGCCATTATACTGCCCAACATTTGTACTGGATGGCTCTTGCAGCCAACTGGATTGCTGGGAGCTGCCTCAGGATTGTCTGGTTATTGAGCTTTAAGTTTGATCTTGGAACCATCTTCCTGTGTAAATAAAGGATAAACACCAGTTAGAAATGATTACCTCAAAGTAGTAGATGTTTGAAGATGTCATGTGTTTCTTCATTAATGAGCCTTTGAAAATTAAAGGTCATCAGCCCAGTCCATGTCTGTAGTTAATGCTTTTTGCTGGTTTGATTTGATGTAGTTGCCTAATCTTGTTGGGGGGCAGTGTGTGAAATGTGCATCAGGGGAAAACAACTTGCCATAGCGTGCCACCTGGTCCTGGCTTTGCATGTAACTACTTCCTCGAAAACCGGCTGTGAGAAGATCCCGCCTGCCGTCGGTCTGTGCAGTCACCAATAGCACATACTGGAGGGACGGTCACTTCCCAAAAAGGTTGGGCACTCAGTGCAGTGACAACAGGAGTGTGGGCTGTACAGGGAAGTGGGGGATCAGCTGCTGAGCATATCAGTAGATGAGGGAGAAGTAGATATGTTCAGAAAACAGGCAAGCACTACTTGACTGCTACGCAGTCAAAATCTACAACCACTTTGCTTTTTACCTGTGTGCATTTAAACCAGATAAGCTTTTTTTTTGTGCCTTCTTTTATCTCAGTGCCAACTATTACAGGTGAGTTATAACTGAAAATACGAGGCTTTAAAAACACTGAAGTTTTACAGCTGCAGCGTGTTGATAGTCCTGGATTTCCTCTTTCTCACATGAATTTGAAAGCACAGTTGTGCTCTGAGCTCAGTGCCTGCTTTTTGAATGATAAAATGGTTTAACTTATCTTATTTTCCCTGTCAAACCTGGGTACTAATTAAGCAATACCTGTAAGAGCAGTAACTGCAGCAGTAATTTCTCACTTCACTGATCTAATCTGAAGCCATGAGCAGCTACAATAGCTATATGCCAGGAAGGATTTGTCCCCTCTGACATACATTGCACAGCCTGTCCCTTGATTAGGTCACAAGTATTTGAAGACTGTAGATTTTTGCGTTATTTTGGGGAAATGCACCTCTTTTTAACAGTTTAATTGCTCAGGTTTGAATTTGAATGACCAGGTCGTGAAACAAATGTACGTATGCATCTGATTACCTGTTTATGGGCTCAGGGAAGCTCTGCGACAACAAAAAAATCCCATGCTGATTCCTGAGCTGCTGGAGATCCCGTGCTCTAGGGTGTTGCCCTCCTGCTGCCGGATCACACGCTCGAGTCGGCCGTAAACTTTAATTATAATTTTTTAAGGAGAAGTGGTGTTGCGGTGCTGCTTACCGACATCCTGGAAACAAGCTGCGCATATGAAAATCACCCTTCTGTGGAAGTAACCCCTGGCTGTTCTTTAGGCTGATTGGGGGGTGTTGCTAAGCAACTCGGGGTAACACGGGGGCTGTATTATCCTTTAGGTAGGTCCTGGTCCCAACACAGATTTCCGAATAAGTAACATAGACGTGGGGAGAGACTGATCAAGGGCAACACAAGAAGTTCAGCCCCTGCAAACTTAACTTTTTTGTTAAGAGTTTTTCGAGAATGAAATTGGATTAGACCCAGAGATGACGTATCCTGTTTGATTTCTTTTCCCCTTGCGCTCTGACGAGCTTTATGTTTAGGCAGGCTTTTGTTTCTGGCTGCGAGTTGCTTTAAAAAAAAAAATTGGGAGCGTGTCTCGGGGTGTCGAGGGTGACGTGCTTAGCTTGATTGGCCAGGTTTGGCTCGGTCTGCTTGCGAGTCCTTTGTTCTTCCCACCACCCTCAGGTCAGTTGTGCAACATGCCCCTACGGTTCAAGAAGGAAAAAAAAAAAAAAGGAGGGGGGGTGGCCGGAAAAAAGTGAAATGCTGAGTAATGCCAGAGTTTTCTCAAATGGCTGATGCAAACCTGGAGAATTTGCATCATCATTCAGCTGGAGTAACTTGGTATGACAAGAGCTTAAATACAAGTCCACGCGGAAGCTGAGCTGGTTTCCAATGATAGGGCAGTACCAGCTCACTGTGTGAAAGCGCAGGTGTTCCTGAGCCAGGCTCCGATCGCAGGAAGGGCTCACATACTCTTTAGGAGCTTGTTACCTGTGCGTAGGAGCAGCTGGAAAGATAAGAGAGGACAGAGGAAGAGACAAAGTAGTTGGCTACACAGAGAGGGGGGGAAAAAAAAGCCTTGAGTTCCTGCTGAAAACTTTTCTGCCTGTGCTTGCCGTCAGTGTGCTGGTGGCACTGTAGCATGCCTAGGAAAGCTGCTCTGCCCACGGTCTCTAATGGAAGCTACTTGCAGGGGCAAGCTAATGGCAGGTTGTCCTCTCTGGACAGCGGACAGCCAGCCCTGGAGGGAAAAGTTGTGCTGAAGAAGAAAGTGACGCTTTTGAGGGGGATATCCATCATAATTGGCACTATCATTGGAGCTGGCATCTTCATCTCTCCCAAAGGCATCCTGAAGAACACAGGCAGCGTGGGCATGTCCTTGACTGTCTGGACAGCATGTGGTATCCTCTCACTTTTTGGTAAGTCCCTGCAAAGTTTCTAATTGGTCCGGAGGGGCGGCCGGTGGATTATCGTGATTATTTGTCTGATTTTACTATTGGATAGCAAGTCACAGAGCAGAGCTTGAGGACCAATGGGGCTACAGAAGGTTTGTGGAGGGCGCAAAGATCTGCAGCCCCTGCCCACCTCACCCCCAGCACCCAGCTGGTGAAAGTTGGAAGCGTAAATTATTGTTTCTTATGGGTCCCTAAAGGAACAGGAAAAGCAAATGTTCGTTTTATGCAATAAAATGTGCTGTATGTATAATATTTTTCTCCTGTCTGTAAGAGGTAGTTTACGTTTGACTTGTAAGGCCCCCAGCAGCTGGAGATACGGGTCATGTGGCTTGAACACCACTGAAATGTTTAGACAGCTCCACTTAGTTCCCTAGAGGCTAGAGCAAGGTCTGAGAGGAATAATTCCCACTGTATGTAAGCTGTATTGGCATGAAAGGGAGCAAAACAATAACACTAATAACCCCTCTCCCCATCGCTTTACTTCATTCCTCACTCATGATGTTGCTTTCAAAGACTGGGCTACCACAAACAGTGCGTTGGAAGCAAATTTGTCATGGGAGTTTTATTGCCGGCCTGCTTATCGTGGGAGTTTTTACTAATTCTGTGTATTCTTGAAGAGTGTTAAATTCTGAAGAAGTCCAGTTCAGTTGTTCAGTACACAAAACCCCCATTCAGAGTGGAAAACCCCACCCCGGCCTCTGCGGGACAGAGGGTTCATTGACCTATTTAGTGAGTTAATCTCAAAGAAGCTGAAGAGCTAACATGAATATTGGCTTTATTTAAAACAGAAATGAGCTGTTTACTGGCAGGAGGTAAAGAGGACAAATAAGGACTAACACGTGTCTGTGTCTGCTTAATAGGTGGAACAGGCAAATGCCACCTTGTGTAAGTTGGCTCTGAGTTTTAGGAAGACACAGATGGTTTACAGGCTGAGCCCACCCAGGCCAAACAGACAGTGTGAGTTAGGACCCATTTGGGTCAAATGTTAAATGTGTTGGTACAATGTGCAGCATAATCTGTTGTATGAACATGGAAGTCCTGCCTGTAATCAAAATTCTCCTATCAAGAAAAGCCTCAGAATCAATTTGAAACTGTCAGAAGACCTTGGTCTTTTGATTTAGTCAACACAGAGTTTGCTTAAGCACCGCATTTTTGGCTGTAACTGTAGTAGTAGTGATTTTCTGGTTGTGAAGTAAAGTCTGTACAAAAAAAAAAGAAAAGAAAATCTCTTTTATGAGACAGAATTTGTAGCTCTAGACCTCTAGATATGAAGAATGTAATTTGGCCCAACAAAAGATACTATCTCTTTCTCAAAGTGGATCTCTTACAATTTTGTTTTTCTCGTGTCTTTTTGTTTTTGTTTTTTCCCCCTATGGTTGTTTTTAATTCCTCCATGACTCAATTATAGTTAAATCACACGTTAAGGTCACTTAAGGTCTTGCTGAGGCTGTGTGTATAACAGGTATTGAAACAATTTAACTTCATCCTGAACTTCCACAGAGGAGCCTGGCGAAAGAAAACCCAGCAATAGCTTTTTTTAATGTGGCTATAGGGATTCCTTTAAGTACACTTTCAGGTAAGCTGAAGAATAGATAAAAGCTGCCACGTTTTTGCAAAGCCCCAAAGCAAATGAGCAAGGATGGAATTTGTCATTATGTGGTTCAGCTTTAATGGGCTTGTACGTGTGATGTTTTGACAACTCTAGTTTTTATCTAAAAGTGTTGTGGCATGAAAGCATGCAAGGAACAGAGCTGAGATGAATTTGTATATGTTGCTGAGCTTAACTCTGTGTTGTACAGTGCTTACAAACTTTATTACTATTTTCATCTGGCTTCTCAGTCTCTTCTGAAAGGTCTACCTGTGTTTATCAGCTTTGGTACACTTCTCTGTTGATGCAGCCCACCCGTGGACCTGAGAATCCCCTGGCTTGGTGACTGAATGGTGGGTCCTGAGCTTTCACTGCATTTGTAGCACACAAAACCACTCCACTAGTGTTGAAAAGCCAGGGCTAAGCCATCCCCTGAATTTTGTATATAGTATATAAGGAGTACTCTCGAGGAAAATTCTTAATTTGCAGTTCCTGCTTCCGAATTTTTGTCAGTTGGTTGCTTTTGCCTGTGGCTGAGAAGAGGTAATACAGTCTTCAGGATTTTCTTCAGAGGTTGAACGAGGCATCTCTAAAGTTGAAAGGAGCTGAGCAGCCTTTGACAACAAGCAAATGTGTCAGAAAACTTTCACTTAGTAGTGGAGTCTGGCTGTCTGGGAAGTAGGGTAGCTGGTGTGACACCCTGCTTTGTTGTCCCTCTTCACAAGATGAAGATGAGTAACAATGCTTGTTGATAGTAAATAGCTTGTCCAGTGGCTTTACAAATAAATGTAACTTTATATATGTACAGTTTGGTCAACTGCATGTCTAGCTGAATGAATTGGGACTTACAAAATTGATTGGAAAAAATAAATCTATAAAAAGTAGGTATGATACCATGGCAGCTCTGTTGTTTGGCCTGTAAATGTTTTGAAAGGTATTTCTGGATGCCTCTTCTGATACCACAGTTTAATTCTCATAGGTGCCCTCTGCTATGCTGAACTAGGAACATGCATTAAGAAATCTGGTGGTCACTACACCTATATCCTGGAGGCCTTTGGCCCATTACCTGCTTTTGTGAGAGTCTGGGTTGAACTACTCATTATTCGGTAAGTGTAATGTGACTTTTCTGTTTCTTTTCTGATAGGAAAATGCTTTTCAGTCATAAAGAAAAATGTCCAATACATGATGGGCAAAACAAATAAATTATATCTTGATCAATTAACTGTGTTCTTTTAGTATAGTTGCTTCAGAGAGTTTAGAAATGTTATTTTGCTTGTCAGTATTGAAACATTCAAGAAGACGTGTATGAGGGAAATAAAAGATTCTAAGAAAACTACCTGCCACACAAATTAAACTACTTGCTTTAATTTTGCTAAGCTTACTGTATCCATTATTGTCACTAATAAAACCCATACCTAGATATAGTACAGTGGGAGAGGGAAATCACCTTTAAATTTTCTGAGTTTTGGCAGTAGCTTTTAGAGCAGTTGCTGTTGTCTGTGGACAGAGGAATAACTCCTGATGAAGCTATTGCCCAGCAGTGTTCAGAGTCAGGAGCACCATGTGTGCTTTATATGTCAGCCTGGATCCCCATTTTTTGCTTTTGTGGGGTGTTGGAGAACTTTTACTGTGAAAAGCACTAGCTGACCAAATAAAGCGACATTAAGTCTTCACATATCTAAAATGTCCAAAGTGGTGTTTTGGTTTGTGAGCCTTTGACGTTGTATAAACATAATGTAAATGGATCTTTGTATCAAACTCACATGTGGCCCTTTGAATTTTTCTTTTTATTTTTACAGTATTGCTGACGTTGGAGAGCTTGATACATGTAGAACAGGGCAACTCACTTATGCATAATGACTTTGGGAATGCTCCATCCCCACCTCAGGCTGGTTAGCACTCCTTTCCCCTCTCTTCCTCAATCAGCAGATTAGTCACAAAAGCACAAGCTTCATTTCGGATCACAACTATGTTTACATAACATTAACAAGTTCTAACGTAGATTATTGAGTTTAAAAGTGCTGACAGTGCTGAGTCATTGTGAATACATAAATCCTTATGTTGTTTCCGGAGGAAATAATTTTGTGTCAGATGGTCCCTCGCATCCTCCCCACCCACACATAACCTTTGAATTAACTGCGTAATTTCCATCAAGTGTGATGAAAGGGCAAATGTCTCAACTGTATTAACCTTCTGCCAAAAATGAAAATCAGGCAGAGGAATGAGACCTATGTTTTCACAGTGCTGTGAACAGCTATATCATTTCACGTCACAGAATCAACAAAAGAGAGCAGTGTTACAAATCCCCTTCTTAACCTGCACCTTGTTAGGCAGAGGGACCTTATTAACCCAGGCACAAACACCCACAAGAAACCAGGCTTCGTGAATTCTTCTCCTCACAAAATAATTATTTTTTTACGTATGACAGTGTCCCAGGAATGTAATGAAAATACTCTTAGTCATCATGATCTGCCCCACACCCAGAAAATAATCATCTTGCATGGGAACGAACATCAGTGAACTCTTTAATCAGCCAGAGAGGCAGCAAGGGAGGTGTACATGTTATAACTTGTGATGATCAGAGCAGCGCTGCCGAACCTCTGTGTAGAGTTTTATACCTGACTCCTGCATCAGGAAACTAATTGGCTGCTGCTATCAAAGAAGCTGAGACCAAATATCTGTCTATATTTGTTATCGGCAGATGAAGTTGTGCAGACACTTCTCAGCTAAGCTGTGTTTTCCTCTCAAAGATTGCAGGATTATCACACTCACAAGCTGGTGGAGCAGTTGCAACCAAAGTAAACATTTCCTACATATATCTCTACAGGCACTACTTTGCTGTGTAGAACACACTTAAACTCTGCCCACATACTGATTAAACTGTGCCTCACCTGCTGTTTAGTTATGCCTTGCTCCTCATCCAGTGCAAGTGTGAACTTTTTTTCTCCCCAAAAGTCAGGTTTTGAGTATTTTATAGATATACATACCTTGAAAAAAGTCCCAAACAACTAGTTTTCGAACAAGTGAAGATGACCATGTGACTGCATTGTCTGTAGTCTGTGGTGGTTGCTAAATGCAGGCTGGGTAAAAGTGCACTGCCAGGTGCCTGACTCACCTGTGGTATTTGTTGTGGCGCTGACCTGCTCCTCCCTTGGTGGCATTTTGTGTCCTTCCCCCTCAGTGAAAGCTGCTCATGTGCTTTCTATCTGCTGCTGAGCACAGAGCTATTGAGGGCTGCCAGCCTGCCTGTAGGATTGTAGTCAGAAGGAAAAGCACAGAATCACTGAGGTTGAAAAAGACCTCCATTAACTCAGCACGGCTGAATCCACCACTAGGCTGTGTCCCTAAACAGCCCACCTGCACATTTTTTGAATATTGCTCCATTCTTTGAACTTCGACATCCACTGATTTACTGCACTGCCAGCAACATCTCCTCCCAGACATGGGAATGCCAGAGACAAAGCTATTTATTAGAGGTGTAATTTGGGAGCTATGATTTTAGAAACAGAGTGGTGCAGATAGCAGCGACTGCTTTTTTAAAAAGGCTTTTCCTTAAAATGGGAGGGGAAAATCCAAGTTCTGGGAAAAGGAACTGAGACTGAGGAAAAAAGTCTGTGACATCTCCAAAGATGTGACCTTTCATCTGATCTAGGGCACTTCAAACTATTTTTGGCAGGCTGCAGTATTTAAAAACTGGAGGCCTGGTGATTTTCTTATGTGAGTTAGAAATATTGCACCGAGGTAAAGTCCATAAATGTCTGTAAAAATCTAAGCAAAATTTGCAAAGCCATTTACTGGCCGGTGGGAGGAACATCCTCGTGCATGGGAGATGCACATGCAGCAGCCCTTGCTCATCCATGCAGAAACTTTCCGAGGAAGATACTTCTGCTCTTTGATGCTCTGCAGCTTGGTCCAATATAGCGTGTGACTTCTGGGTTGAGTGATAACATGAAGAAAGTGGGTTTTGTTTCCAAGGTGAAACTCCCTTGTGGAAAATTCCTTTGTTGTTCAATGGAGAATAACAACTTCTCTGCAGAATTTTTACCCTGCTGCATAGCATTTTTATCAAAGTGAGGTATTATTTTATTAAATGCTGTATATTTTTTCACAAGACATTTGCATGGACTTTGGTTTAACTCAGAAATCCTTTGAGACTGAATCATATGCCCTTTTGTCCTTACAGTGTGTGAGGTGTGTAATAAAGCACAGATGCCACCAGCTGTCCTAAGAAGGGTGAAAGTGTCCTCCCAAATGGAACGTGAACAGACCACTGGAACTGTAATATGCAGACAGTGTCTGATTCAAAGCTAATTTGCTATTAATGCGTGTCAGTGCTAAGGCTTCTGGCAAACAATTAGCTTGTCTCAAGGAGAAAGGCTGTATGAATATTATGGGCATTTCAAATTTGTAAATCCAACAACTGCTTGCTTTTCTTGACATTTCTTGATTTTATGGTAGGTGCTTTCTGTGCTCCATGGATTTTTGCTGTCACTTGCAGTGCTAGGAAGTTGTTCGTCAATAAAAGGGAACAAATTCTGTTTGTATTTTAGGAAATCCCATTTTAATTAATTTTTTTTCATTGTCTCAGAATTTCATAACAAACTTGGGTGGGTTTTTGGTGCTTCTTTCAGTAAACCAGAATTCTCGACTTGACTGAAACTAATTTCCTTGTGTCTCTGAGGGACGAGATATACCTAGCCACTAAAATTCAAACTGACTTTTATTCAGGGTTTCGCCCATGTAAGCCAGTTCTGGCTGTGTTCACTTCAAGCAAGTGAATAAAGATTTCTGTCGGTACTTTTCCTTTCTGGTTATGGCTGCTTTGCAGCATGGATGTAAGAAGTGGTCAGAGGTGTTGCTGTCAAGACCAGAACCTCTGAGCGATGCTACATTGAGAAACCACGGGACATGTCAGCACAGTTACCAGCAGGCACCAAAATTAAGGTCCACAGTTCAGTGATAGTGAAGTTACAGCATGATCCCATAAGAATAACATCTGTGGACTACTGCAGATTAATTTTGTTACTTTGTTGTTTTTACTCTAGCCCTGCTGCCACAGCAGTGATATCGTTGGCATTTGGACGTTACATTTTGGAACCTTTCTTTATGCAGTGTGAAATCCCAGAACTTGCGATTAAACTTATTACAGCTGTTGGCATCAGTAAGTATCGAATTTTAGGTTTCAGGGAAGGGTAAAGATTATAGAAATTGGGGGAAAAAAAAAAAGTAGTCGCTCTCTGAACAGGTAGTTGTTTGATGTGAATCATTAATGACCAGGCATCCAATGCCAAGGGCATCCACATGACATTTTGCCTGGTTATGTGTGTTTGTGAACAAATGCATTAGTAAAAAGAACAGCAGACTTTATTAATGGCAGGGAAGATCTATTGCCAAGGTTGATTCTGTTGCCACTGGAATTAATGGCTGCAGTCTCATTATTTTTGTGGAAGCAATTTCAGTCCCTAAAAGATGGTGAGCCGGTGCCAGAGATATGGAAGAATGATTACCTGCTTTTAAGTGCTTTGCTGTACCTCTGTTTTAGGAGGCAATTGAGTGCCAAGTATGATGCCATGAAGAAATGTAGTTCTCTTGAGTGCAGACAGGCGACATGAGATCATCTTCCCTAGTCCCACTCTTTCTGTCATGGCAGTAATCCTTGTCGAGGTGCTTGTGATTCAGGAAGCGGCAGCCCAGCTGTGGGAACAGGACACACAGCTTGGTGCACGGTTGTTACCAGCAACTTGTCCTATTCTTGCTAACTTTGCAGTTAGTGTAAGAGGGACCATTTAGGGTGACAGAAAGCTAATATTTGTAGTGGAAAGAGGGAGGCTGCCCTGAGTGCAGGAACTTTACGGTGTACCTGGGATGGTGTGGAGGGGGCATGAAATGAAAAAGCAGAAAGGGTGATGGGAATGGGACTCTGGAGCCTGCACCTGTAGCATTAGAGGCTTGTTTCCAGTTCTGTTTGGTCACTGGTGAGGATGCTCCTTGTGGGCACATATTGGCATTCAGCTGTGCTGGGAGGGGAGTGCAGAGTAGACCTGAGTAATTAGTAACAGATTGTTCCTTTCAGTTTGCTCAGTGCACATAACAGAAACAAAAGGACTGGAAAAAGGAATTAAGACATGCAAAATGATCAAAGGCCCACAGGAGACCCTTTCAGTTTTGCACAATAATAGGTTCAGATGACTTTTTCTTTCTTTGGGGTAAGGAGTTCAATTGACATTGAAATTTCCAGTCTCCAGGTTACTGTGGCTTTTTGTAGGAACTCTCTTGATAAGTTTTCCCTTCTGCTGGGAGTATTAAAAAATCAGTATGTGACCGCATTTCTTTCTAACTTAATTATGCACAAACTATAGGTTTCATAGGAATAATTGAATTAAGGGTTTGAATTTTGAGGTCAATGACTTTTTACAGCTACATCTGTCTAAAACATTTCAGTGCAGGATAAGGGTGAAACAGATGTTCAGTAACAGTCAAGGTCACTGAGACAGAAGGAATGTTAAGTGAGGACTCCATCAAAGCATTTTGTTAAGCGCGTGTGATTCAAGCACAATAGGTGAACAATTTGAAATATGTTTTTATTGCTTTTAATTTAAGTGAAAAAGAGGTCATAGCAGACTGCTCCTGTACAGAGTAGGTCTGTGGGGTGAGCTGACACTTCACTGAAAGAAGGGATTCTTGTAGAAAGCTTGCAATGATGAATGGGACAAAGCTAAGGAAAACAGTGGCATGACAGACTGAGGTTTTATCTTTATTCTTTGTAGTATGCTCTACAGTGGAGTTTCATTTGTAGTAGTCATAGAACTTCTGCTACACTTAATCTCAGTGTCTGACTGTTATCCTTGTATGGTAAGAATCAGCTGTTGTGGTGGTAATTGTTATCAATGTTTGGTATTGTGCATGTAGGCAGAGTGATAGGTAAGATTAAGGTGGTGAGCTGAACAGACACTTTGGAGCCCTGAAGATCTTATAATCCAATTTAATGGTGCCAAAAGTAGTGCTTGCTTCCCCTGCAAATTTTAAGTTAATCAGAAAGTGAAATGACATGTCTTTTGTCTTCTTATCCAGGCCTGGTCCCTTCTCTCTCCTTGCCTGATGAGCACTCGTGTATCTGTCTTTATTGCATGGGGGAAAGGCAGTGGGAAGCACCATTAAATTCTGTCCTTGGGTGGGACTTTGTTCTAATGTTTTAGTTTGTCGTTTCTCGTTATACTAGAAAGGGCAGGGAGAGATTTTGAAAAATCTTCAGGTGATCCCCGATCTCAAATACAATCACTACTATCTAAACAACTTCTTACAGATATTTGTCTAAACTGGTCTTAAAGTTTGCAGTGTGGGAGTTTTTAAAGCCTCACATATTATTGCAGCCCAGTTTTTTCCATCTTATCACAAGACAGCTTTTCTCTTTCCTTCTCCCCCCTCCACCTAAATCTTCTTTTATGCATCTTAAGCCTATTATTAAAAGGTTATCTGAGGTGGATGTGCCAGGACTGTGCTGAGGAGTGGCAAATACTATTGCTTCTCTACCAGCTGAGAAAAAATATTTCTCATAGTGGGGCTACAGCCCATTCTCCTTCCCATCATTCCCCTTCTGTGCCTCTACTGTGAAGAAGGAATGGTGATGCAGGGAAGATGTAGATCAGATGAGATTTAAAATGGAACTGCTGGAAATGATGACCTTTAAAAAATTCCTTATTCTTGCTTTATTATTTATAGAAAAAAGCATATGCTTGGCACAAAACACCCCTCAAAACCATACCTGTTCAGAGCAATCTTGAACAATATGTAGAGGCAAATTTTCTGTTCCACAGTATGCTGCTTTCATTTTTAGTTGTCATTATTATAATTATTTTTTTTTAACAAAACCAACCAACATGTCCAAACATTTGTATCTTGGTAGAGAGAAGGATACTTATGTGGAGTCACTTTTCAGATGCCACAGCCTTCTGGACCTCTAAAGCAAAACCTGCCTGTTCTTTTCAAACTTAGAAATCACTTAAATTCACTTGGTGCTTCTTAAGCAAGTCTTCATGAGGAGGAAAACTTAGTCAGATACTGGATATGCATATCACAGTCTATCTGTCGATCTGACAGAAACTTTTGCTAAACTCAGTCAATTTTAACTGTACCTGAAAGAAGAGGAGACATCTCTAAGATTTTTATTACATCATACATTTCATAGACTGTTAGAGTCACAGAATGGTTTAGGTTGGAAGGGATGTTAAAAATCACCTTGTCATGGGTGGGGACAACTTCCACTAGACCAGATTGCTCAAAACCCCATCCAACCTGACCTTGAACACTTCCAGAGACAGGATATCTAATTACTACAATTTTTATGAAAATAAATGGCGAGGTAGAGGAGAGAGAAGTTGGATGTGCCCCAGCACAGGGAAGGACAGCTGAAGAAAATGCAAGCAGGAGACCAGCCCTTCTAACTGCCCAGCTTTGCTCAAGTAGGGCGAAACAGCCCCAGGACACAAAGCAAAAGGGATGTTGTCCACCTTTGTTCTGACGCTGAAGATAGTCTTTTTAGGAGAAAGAGTTTAAAATTAATTTTTCTCTTTCAGTGAAAACTGGTAGACTCCTACATATTTATTGTTTCTTCCAATGAAGAAACATCCTATCACTGTGCCTATCATTGCAAAGCATGGTGGCAGTGCAAAAATGCCCTATATTCATATGTTGCTTTATTTGTATCTTTGAATTCTTCTTCTAATGCTAAACTTAAATATAGTGGTAACAGGAAGGGATAAATTGCACTGTGAAAGGTATTAAACTCTTCTATCGATATATAACCTGAGTAGAAACACATTAACTGAGCCTGTTCCAATCTTTCCACTTGGCCTCCGTATCAGAAAGCAGATAAAGAGGTTTCAGCTATTAAAAACTGTGAAACTGAAAGCTGGTTGCTAACTCACACATGTTTTTACACTCATTTATGTGTATTTTAGGCATTTTATGTAGCAATAATATATAATTTTCCCCTTTTTTATTTTTTTGCGGAGTCTGCCAAAAAAACTCAAATATCCTCATCTTTGGCTGTTCGAGGTAAAGTTATGCTCGAAAACTGAGGTCAGCTGTACAGATCTATCAGTGCTTGCTGGCAAATGGTCCAGCCCCAAAGTTTACAGGCATGTATATGAGTCTACAGTTAGTTGCCTTTTTTTTTACCCCATCATGGCAGATGTTACAGATGCCGCTCTCTACCGCTGACAATTTTCAGACAAGCAGTTTAAGTTAAAACATCTCTTGGCTTGCAGGGATAGCAAAAACTGCTCTGATAGGTGCTTTTGTGCCTCCTGTGACCTTTAATTGACGAATTAGGATCTGCAAATTGAGGGTATTATTCCCGTTTTTTAAATGCCTTGGCCCTCAAAGTCTGACAGGTTAAGGCAGGGCAGTTTTCTTGGTCTCCTGCTGAGGCAATGGTACATATATTCTTGAAAAGTAGGCCAGGATGTAATGCTTTCTACTGCTTCTCCCATTAGATTTTGTTATCTATCTATAGCTGTGGCTGTGAGAAGGAAAGAGATTGTGAAAAGCAACATGATCAGTGTTACCATTGTGTTTGATTGTTCCTGAACCCCATTTTGTTCTCCTTCCATACTCCTCTGGGTTAGCATCCATCTCATTTTTAACTAGGTGTTTAGTTTAAGGTAATTTTTTATGCTCCCTATGCAGTTGGCGGAGAAAGAATGAAAGAGGCATTTCCTGGAGGCATCTCATCTTATCTGGGATAGGCATCTCAAAGAGGTGTTTTTATTCATCCTCTGGAGCTCTTTCTTCACTGAGGATGCAGCCACACTAGATGCCGGACTTCTAGTTAGCAAAGTTAGACTTCAGTCCTCCTTTCACTGCCCTTTTCCTGGGAAACTGCTCCTTCCTTCTCATCATTGCTGTGATCCTGTATCCAAGTGTCTGCAATCAGTTTCTTTAAATATCTCCATCAGGCTTTATTCATAAATGAGGGGTGTTGAATGATGGCCATAGTCCCAAGATATAACAGGACTATGTATGGATCCTAGCACAGTTGTCATATTCTTTTCCTGCTTTTTAGCAGCTTTCTTTGTGACTCTGCTTCCCTGTTGCCTTTCACTACTCAATTGCTAACACAACTAGTCTGGTGCTGGTACATGATAGCAGCATAAGCCTCACAATTCTAGACAGCTGTTATGCACATACAACCTTAAGACTAAATATTATATTATAGAATACTAAAATTATTAATCATAGTGTATAATAAAATTAATATATTTATGTATTATATTTCTCTATATATTTATGTAGAAGACTGTAAATTCTTATACCATAATAGGTACAATAAGATGAAATTCCAAAAAATATAAAACTGGTCTCAAATATTCTACGCACTTAAGTGTCAGCCCTGCAACCTGAACTGATACTAGTACAGTCCTCTAGCTCTGCAAGGGACTTAGTCCTGTGGAGGACCATCTAAGGACATTTGCATCAAGGGAGTTTTAGTGATAGGACAAAGGGAGATGGTTTTCAAACTGAAAAAGGGCAGGTTTAGATTAGATATTAGGAAGAAATTTTTATGATGAGGGTAGTCATAAATACTGGTGCATGTTGCCAAGAGTTGTGGCTGACCCATCCCTGGAAGTGTTCAGGGCCAGGTTGGATGGAGCTCTGAGCAACCTGATCTAGTGAAAGGTGTCCTTGCTCATGGCATATGGCTTGGAACTACATGATCTTTATGATCCCTTCCAACCCAAACCATTCTATGATTCTGTAAAAACTAACAGCATGTGCCCAAGGCCGACTGCAGGTGTAGCATCCTTTCCGTTTCCCGGTTAATGAAGGTCCTTACAGTGTCCCTTTTGCTTTCACCATCTGATTAGAAAGCCTCAGATGAAATGTTTAACTGACTTGAACTCATAGTTGGGGATGGAAGAGATTTTAACACAAACTGCTCACAGGCTTCTTTTTCTTTCAAGCCAGTGTAGCTCTTACACAGAGTTGATGTTTGTGATCTGTGTGTGGCTGGCCAGCAAAAAAGGTTATGAGTTTCCCTATGAGTTGAGATTACTGTTCCTACTGGTTCACCATCCTGTGGCATTCTCATATGTGTATCAGGAAGGTGAAACCAATGTGTTAGAAAGCCTGAAGGAGGTCTCTCTGAGGGCTGGATGCTCATGTTACCTGCTCTGACCTGTGTAAGGTAACAGACTGATTGCTGCTGTCAGAACTCCAAGTAAGCTGGATATCAAATTGCAGATACTCTTACACAAAAAACTCCTCCTTGACATTTCCTTGTGTCTGGTCCATGCCTGGACTTCACCTTCTGGCCAAGAAATCTGTATCTGGTGAGATACAGAACTGATTAAAGATTTTGATCTTAAAGATCTTTATTTTGTGGAAAATATCATGCTAAATGATGTTGTGAGTTTATGTTGGCTTGCTTTTGAGAGTGGGACTCTCTCTTTCTGAAATAAAACTTCCAGAAAAAGCCTTTTTGTTTCTTTCCTGGAAGTTTTATTTTATGAAAAATATCCAAAAAATACATTAGTATCTGGATTACTTGGAATTTTCTCCCTTTTCCATTGGACCAAAACTACTTTAAGTTTAAACTGAGAAGATTTTTTTATTATATAGTTTTAGCTTTGCCAGTGAACAGAAAATGTATAAAAGACTTGGGATAAATCAGTGGGGTTTGCTTCCAGAAAGCCTGTACTGTGCCAGATCTACAATGACAGCTCATACAAAGTAGCAGCTTGTGCTTTTATGCATCCTGAGATGTGTGATGTGGCTGATGATACAGACAAACTTGTGCTCTTGAGAGAGCTTGAAGTAGGGGAGGATTGAGATGAGGAGCTACTTCATTAGCTCCATACGACGACAAGAAAGAGATGATGAGTGAACAGGCTTGACTACGTTTCCCTTTCCCTGAAGCAGAGGGGGAAAGGGGCTTTTTATCTAGTGAAATGACTCCCATTTTACATTCTTTAGGTAAAATTTATTAACTATGTTTTGTCAGGGTAATTGTTTAAATAAACTAGAATAACTGACCCTCAAATGATAAGACCTACCATCTTCCTGTCAGTCAGTGCTGTAGTAAATGCAAGAAGATGCTGTTCCTGACCCAGAAGGAGACACAAGCTGAGCAGGCAGGATGTAAAAACCCTTCTCACTTATCTCTCCACATGCTGGTGAGGTGCAAACCTGGGCTTTGTTTTCAAGAAGGAAAATGTCTCTATTTCTTCATCAATTCCCGAGAATGATGGGCACATCATTTGCACTCTGGCCCTCCTGCATCTCTGGTGGTACAGCAAAAAGGGAGGAGAAAGTGTGGAAAAGAAGAGCAGAGGTAAATAAGGTAGCAAGTGACAAATTTATGCCAGGTCTAAAGAAGGCTGAGAAAATTTAATATTATTATTAATTATTACTGTTTTGTGAAAAATGCAAATCTCCAACCAGCATGGACAAAGAAATCTGGAGTGACAGGCGTTGGGCAATTAATTTCTTTCATCCAAGGCAGGGTCCTGCCAGCCCATTGTCTACCAGAAGTTGACAGTTCTGGGTCAATGAAGCTGTAATTTGGTGTGAAGGGAGCCAGGCAGAGAAGGGACAGAGAGACGGGCCATGCAGTGGGTCAGGTGGAGGGGCTCAGCTCAAGCCTTTCATGCGGCACGTTGTAGTGGAATGGGAGAAGTAGGAGGATGACAGGAGAAGGTTATTGGGGTGTATTTCCTTTAATGCATCAGGATCTATTGGGTATGTGACCTCTCTGCTGGCAAAGAGTTTTGTGACAATTATTTCTTTCTGACTTTTCGTTTTCCCCTCACAGCACTGGTGATGGTCCTGAATAGCACAAGTGTCAGCTGGAGTGCCCGCATTCAGATGTTCCTTACCTTTTGCAAGCTTGTAGCAATTCTGATAATTATAGTCCCTGGAGTTATCCAGCTAATTAAAGGTATGAAATGAAAAGTAAATGCTTTTAAAGAGCTTTTATCTTTACCCTCCCCAGTCTTTCCCCACCTGCCTCCGCCAAATAATGCTTGTAGCAGCAAAGTCTCTTAATTAGTCTGTGCTTGCTTAACTGAGGCTCTGCTCTGTCATGTAATTGATTAGAAGTGGAACTACACTGGGGTGAACTGGTGCTTCCTTCAGCATGCCAATGAGTTCATTTCAATCAGACTCACTCTCAATTGAGCAAATGGACTGTTCTTCTCTGTAATTTGCCTTTGGCATGAACTTTGTGAAAGGGGCAGGATGGTTTTTAATGACAGATGGACATACGTGCCTAGTCCAAGCAGAATGTCTCCTTTAATTGTGCTGGTCCCTAGTCATGGTACAGGGTATATGGTGGGAGAAGGTCTCTGATTTCACAGAATCACGCAGTCATAGAATGATTTGGGTTGGAAGGGACCTTAAAGACCACCTAGTTCCAACCCCCTTCCATCGGTGGAGATACCTTCTGCTAGACCAGGTTTCTCAAAGCCCCATCCAGCCTGGCCTTGAACACTTCCAGGACATGCACTGCTTCTCTGGACAAGCTGGTCCAGTGCCTCATGACCCTCACAGAGAAGAATTTCTTCCTAATATCTGTTTTAAACCTGCCCTTTTACAGTTTAAAGCCATTCCCCCTTTTCCTGTCACTACATACCCTTATAAAGGCACTCTTTTCGCTGACAGATGCTCAGCTACCTGCAGAGACTTTTGCATTACAGCTCTCTCCACAGTTGGTGTGACATGGTGACAAGCCCCAGCTCACTCTCCTTACAACAACTACACAGAGCACAAGCAGCCACTCAGTACAGAGGGGCAGAATAGGGAGCACTCTTTAATGAATTGGTGGCAGATTTTATCTAACAAAAACTGTCACAGTTGTTGGCTCTGTCCCTGGGGATGCTCTTCTCTGATGACTCACAAACCCATCTGAGTGAACAGCACAGCGTTGGTCTGTGCAGTGAGCTCCATTACTCAGGGACAGACAGCTGTGGTTAATAAAGACTCTGAAATAAAGGTTTTCCTGTGTAGCATTCTGCTGGTTCACTGTTTTTGTTTTCCACTTACGCTCTGGCAGTTGCAACACCATTTCCTATTGCACATTACACATGAAATGGGCAGAATTTCTCTCCGTTCCCATCCACTCCACTTTTCCTTTGGAACAGGTCAGGCCCAGGTTTGGTTGGGGTTGGATGCCCTGAAGTAGCACAGATAGTGTCCCTGATTCTCCACTGGGACCTTTTTGTGGCCGCAGCTTTTCCCTTAACCAAAAAGCCTCTGTTTCAGTGGGAAATTTTGACTGAGAGCTCAGAAAAAACAGAGCAAAGGGTAGAGGATCTGACCCATTGCTAGTCTGAATGAATTCGGCTTCTTCCTGCTCCATCTCTGTGGAGGATCATTGCTACGCAGAAAATTTGGGATATTGTAGGGGCGTCTTACAAACCATAAAACAACTTGCAAATGAATAAGAGCATAACATGAGTCTTACATTTTTGCATTTGTATATATGTATATATATGACATATACAGGTAATTCTTACTTGATGAAATATTAATACAGTATTAACTATCATGTGGTAGGGAGTAACTAACTTCATTTTTCAGTAGTAGAAATGTTTAATATTTTGGGTTTATTTATCTTATAAATGTTGCTTCTGAATGAAATGTCAGCAAAGTTACTTCTGATTAAAATGTTGAACAAGTGAAATTTTCCACATCAAAAACTACAGAGCTTGTTCTGCTCTTTCATGTTGATGTAAGTCATTGCTGGAAATGCCAGAGTAGTGAATGTCATCAAGCTCAGAATGCTCTGAAACAAACTAATAGGTCAAATTCTGCTATTGCATGGCTACGGATAGCACAAGCCTTTTACAGTTGCTGTCAGATTATGACGGCAAGGGTTGGGTCAGAAGTTAAGGTCAAGGGCAGAACTTGATGTCGGTGAACTGTAGGGTGATTAAATGTTCCATGGTGTGATATATTTATTTGTTTAAAGTAGTAGGTGACCAAAGAGCTTATTTTTCAATATTCTTTTTGTTGATGTTGTAGGAGAAACACAGCACTTTAAAAATGCCTTTGCGGGGAATGATGCCAGTGTTTTGGGACTACCACTTGCTTTTTATTCAGGAATGTATGCCTATTCAGGCTGGTAAGTGGATGAAACTTATAAGTGTTTGTCTTGAAAACCAATACTAGTGTGCTCTAAGAAAGACATTTATTTATATGAAGCGAGTAGCACATTCTACACCTTTTTAAGGGTAGTTCTTACCATTGTTCCAGATGCTCAGTGATTATTGTGCAAGCAGCTCTATAAAAGAAAGATTTTTCTTCTCCTTCAGATAAACACGTACTGAACACGAAAAAATCAGACCACAAAATTAAATTTTCATTAAGTATTTAGATAAAAGGATAAAAGGGATAATGAAGATTTAGTTTTTGTTGAACAAGTCAGTAATTACATGAAAAACAAATCTATGATTCTGTTACAAAGTTGTGTGGCCCTTAGCTTTGCTTTGTAAAAGCAGTATTTGAGGAATAAGAAGCAAACTATGATAAGATCAGTGTGGACCAAAAAACAGGGTAAAAAAATAGATTCTTATGCTTCTTGCTCTGAGAGAATTGGACCTCACTCGACAAAAAGTGCAACTGGCTTCCACAGAAGTCAAGTGTGATTGACTGTGAGCAAAGGCATGAGAATCCGCCTTCAGGTATCCTGTTCAGAACTTTCAAGTTATTTCTCTCTTTCCCCAGCAAAGTACACAGCAGCTGGTTTGAAAGGTGCTGCTGCTCTTCGAATCTACCTTTACAATTTATTCATGCCTGTGAGGGCTCCACATTGTGCAGTGCCAGAGGGCTTTTACAGCAGCAGTGTGGGGGGAAAAAAGGAGACTACAATGCACAGAGTGGGCTTATTTTGAGATAGCTTTGTCTGCAGGTCTTCCCTTTGCTTTCCATAGCCTCACAGGCAGCCAAGTTCTTTACCTCAACACAAAAGGAGAGGGCTGAGAGATAAGGGGTTTATTTATTTAATTCAGAGGGACAATGGGCCGAGCATTGGAGTTCTTTGCCCCTCTGTAACTCCCTGGTTGCAGGAGGATTATAAACATGCACACTGAAGTATGATCAGAACTTTATATATTAAATGGCAGCAGGGGAGGAAACCCAAGAGAGTCCAAAGCCTTTATCTGGCATAGATATGTAAGAAAAGAGCCTGTCATTTTGAAGCCTCAAAGAAATGGAACTTATTATGCGGACAATCTCTACTTTCTTCCCTCTCTCCCCTATAACCGCCTCTGTCCTCTCATATCTGTACGTGTGATGGTTTCTCACATTTAAAATATCAACCTAAGTGTATGCTTTTTATATGAAAGCAATTTTAAAAGCTCTTTAATATTATTCAGAGTTTGATAGCTGTAGAATGTTGCAACAGAATAATAGTATTTTTGATGTTTCTTTCCCATTTCTTTCCATTTTCCACATAACGGTCCAAACCTCTGCAATAAAAATAATCTTTCTTTTTTTACTTTATACCTTCTGACTTTCATTTCAAGGTCCTTATTTGCCACTTATAAAAGAAATTACCAGGAAAAAGACCTAATTTGGCTAGTGGTTCTTCCCAGCTGCCTATTTGTCTTTGTCACCAGCTCAAATTGATTGCCTTGGAGCACAGAGGAGCAGACCATTAAGTGGAGTGTCAATACCCTTGCACTATCAGTTTCATGGGGCTAAATCAATACGATAAGCTGAATGTGAAGGAGTGTTGCAAGTGTTGGTGGCATGTCCCAGGATGCAGGCAGAATTTTATGCATAGCTTACAAGACTATTAGCTTTTAATGATACAGCTTTGAAGAAGAAAACAAAGGCAGTATCTCTTCTATTTGTGGATTCATCCTGCCAAGAACAAGCGTAGACTGTTGGGTATATAAAATGCTGGGTGAAAAAGGACAAGTGAAGAAAGGAATGCAAGGCAACACTTCTTTTCATCAGTAAAAGGACTGATGCTGGGCTGTCACAGAATCGTAAAATCACAGAATGGTTTGGGTTGGAAGGGACCTTAAAGATCATCTAGTCCCCCCCCTGCCATGGGCAGGGACCCTTCCCACTAGACCAGGTTGCTCAAAGCCCCATCCAGTCTGGCCTTGAACCCCAAGGATGGGGTATCCACAACTTCTCTGGGCAACCTGTTCCAGTGCCTCACCACCTTCACTGTGAAGATTTTCTTCCGTGTTTCTATTCTAAATTTCCCCTCTTTCAGTTTGAACCCATTACTCCTTGTCCTTTCACTACAGTTCCTGATCAAAACCACTTCTGTCTAGAAGCAGGACAGAGACCAGAAAGAAGTAGCTGAACATCTTACTTGTCAGAAGCCATCTCTCTTTTGAAGTATCCCAACCTCTTCTTTTGTGCTTTGTGCACTAGAAAGTTTAAAAACAAGTACTGAGGTTGTTGTATAAGGTGGCAACTCTGGTTTTACAGAATTTCATGCTCAGTCACAAAACCCCTTTTTTTAAAAACCGTGAACCAGTGCTAACTCATTCTGCTAACCCAGATCTGCTCCGAGACTTGTGATGGAGCAAAGCTTTCTGCCAGATCAGTTACTGTTTGTTTATTCACTGTAGCACTGTTGGCTCAGGTATCATTTGTCTTTCTGTACAAGAGCACAAAGCCAGCATAAGCACTGTATTGACTGCCCTGTTTAATTAGCCAGGATCTGACTTTGTGCCTGTCTCCAAGCCAGGCGCAACTGTGATCCAGCGATGCACAGACCTAGTGCTAATAAATGCAGAACAGAGGGTTCAGTGACCTTGAGGCTTATGTTTGCTTTGTATGCAGGGCTGTGCCCGGTGAGTAGTTCCTATGAATTCCCATGCAGAGCTGTCTCTTGAGTGCTGCTGGAATACGACTAGAGTGCAACCTGTGCTGGAGGTTGTGCAAGAGCATGCAGGGTTAGCAGCCTGGGTTTGTGATTCTATACAGCAGACTAGTGTCAAGGTTCTTGTTTCAGAAGGGTTTCTTCCAGGGTTTTGTTTATTTTTATTGTTAAGAAGTCCTTGCTGAATACTCTGATGAGACTTTTCGCCAATATAACTTGAAATAGTAAAGGCTACAACCACAAGTGGAATATGAGGCTTGAGGGTGCATGTGTGTGGGTGTCTCTGTGTGTGTATGGAATTAGGGTAAACCATGATCTGCCTAGAATGTCAAGGGAAAGAAAATAATTTAGTTCCACACTAACTTTATATAGCTTTTGTCTTTTTTTTTGTGCTTTGCTGTCTTTTCTGAAAATTCCCTTCCTGAGTGTGAGGATGAAGGAAGGTTAAATCTCACACTCTCTGTAATCCAAATATGGGTCTGCAAAGTCTACTGTGATTAATAGCTGTGCTTAACTAAAAGCATCTTCCTGATTCTTTGTGAAAGAAATATAGAATAAAAATCTACCAAGTCCTTATAATATGTTTTATAATTCTTTTCTAGGTTTTACCTCAATTTTGTTACTGAAGAAGTGGAAAACCCTGAAAAGTATGTACCTTGACTTTTGAAAAACAGTCATAAAATTTAAAATGTTATAAAAGTAGTGATCTTTAGAAATTCTGCATGCTGGTCAAGCTTCTTGCTTTCCAGCAGATCTGGTATCTATTTGAATTGCACCTGCTTGAAGATTTACTGGTTTTGGTCTGTTGTGACCTTGTTATGTATTCTGCTTTTATGTGCACAGAAAGCAGCAAACTAAGTAGATCTCCAGGGCTCCCGTTCTCCCCCTCAGGATACAAGTAACTATCAGTGGCTCCTTTCAGTGGAAGTTACTGGTATCCTGTCAGGGAAATCTTGCCCAAGAAACTTATCTGCTGCAATATTTGTCAGTTTTGCTGTGTTTAAATATTAATCAAATACTTAGTTCTACTTGTTTTAGATGTCTCAGAGATGCGGGATCTTGAATACACATAGCACAGCATCCGATCCAATTAAACCGAACAGGGGATATGAGTTGGAGTCTGTTTCAAACCAGAGATGAATAATCTCACAGCACCTGTCTGTAAAATATGGAAAGAAAAGTTGTCCTGTTAGGGAGAATTTGATTTGTCCTGTCTATTTTGGTAGGTATGTTTTGGTACATGGGGACAGTAATAAAAAAATCTATTAACCTTTTCTAAAAATTACAGAAAATATACCTTGTCAAATAAATTTGTTTTCTTTGAGGAAATTAACAATTTACTTGGCCAAAAATTTATGGCTAAATATAATTTTCTTAGGTTTTTAAAATAAGACAGCTAATAACTTATTGTTTAAAAGGACCCCCAGCACTGTACACTCAGGTAATATGAACCCGAGACGAGTAGAGAAAGAAAACCCCAAACAGCATTGACTGGGAGCACGCAGAAGGTTTTTCGTTGGTTTCTTCAAAGTCTGAACCAAACCTGGTGCTGTTTCATTGCAAGGAAATTGATGATAAAACATGAGGATGGCATGAAAACTGGCAGATTTCCACTGTTTCAGTGTCTTTGAGGTGTCTTGGGTGTTAGCAGGATCTTTAATATGATCAGGATATGTAGACTGAGGACTGTATGACTGGAAGCTGAAACCAGACAAATGCAGGTAGAAAATACAGCACTAGTATTTATGACTAATCATTAGCACAGATACCTATGGGTGCAAATGGGTTTTTCCTTGTTAGTCTTCAGTTCTGACAAAACACTTTTTTTTAAACTAAGCACCCCTTGAAGCATAATGTATCACAGCTAAGAAAAGTCGTGTGGGTTCAATTTTAAGTTGTTTTTTTCGTTGCAACTGGGATGTGAGGGAAGACGACTCTGTGTCTTTTCTGCCTCTGTCTCAGGAGAGCTTCCAGGTTACTCCGTTACTCTTGAAGTTATTTGGGCTGCTAGTGAGGATGTAGTACTGGAGGACAAACCACATAACCTGGCTGGTTTGGTGTATTCCAGGATGGCTCTGGAAAAAAAGCCCAGCTCAATGCTACCTGTACAGTGTTATCACAAAGCTGTTAAAGCTTCCCTTTATCATTCTTCTTCTTGGGGTTGCACTTGGAGAGGATAAGGAAGATGCCCAGTATTTACAATCTCCATACAAATGTACAATATAGAATAGAAAAGATCAAGATTTTAAACATTGCTAAGTAAGTGGCAGGTGATATAGCAGGGCAAATGGATTGCTACAGGCTGTGCTGGCAGAGACCTCTGCACCACCTGTAAATGGGGATTCTGGACTCCCTTAATCTGAAACAAGCGATTAAATGACAGTTGGAACAGTTTTTTTATCTGGTTGCCACCTATGAATGGCTCTGTTGGAAAGATGTCCTGCTGAGCCGGGGCCTCCTCCACCGCTGTTCCCAAAGCTATAGGGCAAGGGAATAGTGTGGATTAATCCCAGTGGCAACTGTCTCAGCTCCCACCAAACTCAGTACAAATGTGAGGTGAGCTACTAATCACTCTGCTGTCGTAGGCATTTATTAGGACTCAGGTGCTTTCTTTTAATTTATCTCTTTAACCTAAAATGCTGTCTTTCCTTTCATTCTTACTGTGTTAAAGGTTGCACTAAGCAACCTGGTCTAATGGAAGGTGTCCCTACACATGGCAGGGGGCTTGGAAATACTACTTCAAGGTCCCTTCCAACCCAAACCTTTCTATGATTCTGTTGTATAGTGCTGCTGTGGAGGTACGGTGTAGCTGTTTTTAAAAGGGAAGAGGGAAGTACAGGCTTGAACCACTTAGAGCCTGTAACAGCTCCAGGTGTGCAATTTGCAGTGTTTGTCAATGGTTAGGGATGCAAATTACTTACAGCAACAGAGGTGAGCATGGTGACGTCTTCTGCCCTGCACCTGCCAAAGTAAATATTTGACTGAGGATCAGTCACAGCTCTGTATTTCCAGGTGTGCGGCAGCTTTGGAAGTAACTGAGATGAATGATCAGCTCCATCCCCGTGTCAACCAGCCTGCTTCAAACCTGCAGGGAATGTAGCAGAGTTGTGGGGAGGACAGCACAGTTTACAGCAGAAGGAAGGCAGGAATGCTCTAGCAGAGAGTGGGGTTAGGGCTTTGCACAACCTGGTCTAGTGGAAGGTATCCCTGCCCGTGGCAGGGATATTGGAGCTAGATGGTCTTTAAGATCCCTTCCAACCCAAATCATTCTATGATTCTGTGGAACTGGGCCCTAGAATATATCCTGAAATAATCTACTTTTAGACATTAAAGTTTTCCAGCTAGGAATTGCATTTCTTCCTGTGGTGTACTGCACCAGGAAAACCTGCTGGCGTACATTGGGAATGCAGAAGAGGGGCAGGGAAGGGGGAATGCTTGTGCCCTTGCCCAGCTGACAGCCCCCTTTATGCTCCAACAGAGTGGCTGTTTGTAGGAGGCTGTGGGAGTCTGTGGAGGTGCAGCAGCCTGTCCCGGGTGCAATAAATTGCAGGCTTGGGTCTATAAGTAGGATGAATACCATGGGCCTGAGGCACTGGGATGGCGATATAAAACCCTAGATAGAGAGAGCTGGCATGGAGATGCTGGAAATGAGCCAAGCAGGGAGGAAGCACCCTTTAAATTATAGAAGGGAGAATAGAAAGTCTTTTAAAAAAAAAATCTGAAAGTGAATGCCATAACTTTCTGAACAGAGTTTTGGAAGTAGTGTTGAATTCTCACTTTGGAAATGCCACAGTTCCTTCTTTTGTATAAAGACATTATTATAACCCCATTATCATAAGATGTAAAAATAGCTGTTTCCGTCTCCTGCTAAACCCCCTTTTGATGTCTCATTTTTAAGCCTGAACTCGTTTCTTTATTCCTCTTTGTTCAAGTGCTCCCCTCCTGCAGCATTAGTAGGACCTGAAGCAACATGAAGTTAATGTTTATTTTACAGGGAGCTGTGGTTGCAGTGTTCACTGCTTTAATGTTCAATTTTTTAAAAGAACCTCTAATAATTTTATTATCAAGAATATGTGGAACAACACTGATGGGTAACAAGAAATTTCTTTTGCTTTTTTTGAAAACTATGCTTTGCATATGCGTGCTGGCTCAATAGGAGTTGTTGTTTGAAATGAAATAACTAAATAATCCTTGGAGCAGCACTTCACCTAAAGAAACTTGTGCAGCCATATCACGTGCACCTTTGATCTTTTTGATTTTCTAGCATCATAAGGATCAGCCCTATACAAACTGAGATCTTACTGTATTGTCTAAATAATAAGTGAATGAAGGAACAGCTGGGTCTCTGAGAGAGAATTTGTCACCTGAAAATTGACAGGAGCCGTGTTGTCTGGAGCAGTAAATTTAGAGGACAGGAAATCAAGCGTGTTGAACTTTCAAACTCATTTCTTATACATAGTCTTTGAGCTCATCTGTATTCTTGAGCACCCACTATGTTCTCTCAAGAAACAGACCCAAGTTTTTTCAATCAAGACCCTAAAAGCAGCTCATGCCCAAACAGCACTTCCCTCCTCCCTTCCCAGGCTGAGCAGAGACCAGGATCAGTGCTCTAGTTAGTGAAGAATTTTGACTGTCTCCAGATGAGAAAATAGCAGAAGAGTGTTTTCATATTACAGCAACATCTTCAGAGCCTTGTCAGAGCCAGGGCCAGATTGTGTCAGATGCTGGCCAAAGAGAATCCAAAGAGAATCTTTAAAGAAATAGTGCTGCATTCTCACTATGAGCAGATGATCAGCCTGAACACTTCAAGGTATGAAGATTAGGCTCTTGTTGGAAGAGAGATAAAAAATTATTTCACTTTAAGGGGAAGGAAACTAAGACTCAAATTCCTTAATGATTTCAAGCAGTCTGTGATTGAGTGAGCAACTAGAGAGAGGTATTAATTTACAGCCCTTGTTTAGCTCAATCACATTATTTCTTTGGCAGTGTAAGTTTCTGTTAGTGTTGTTGAACTTCGGAAATATTTTTCATTTAGTGGTCTTCAGTGTCAGTGGTACAAAATGATGAACTTTCAAAGGATGTGGATTCTGAAAACATTTTACTACACAGATTACTTTGCAGTTGCAGTTAAGTATAGCTGCTATTTGGCATAATCCTTTATTTTTACTCTATTTTTTTCCATTTTTTCTCCCCTGTTATTGAACCATTTCATTTGCAAATATTCTATTTCTGTTTGTAAAATAACTTGGGTCCAGCCCAGGCGATCTATCATTGTTTAAAAATTTACACAGCGCAAAGAACATATTATTGAGATGTATAGTGTTTATAAGTCTGGTCTCAGATTGATAAATCATGTCTTGGGCTGTTGAAAAGCCAAGAAATTAATTGCTTTGCTATGACCTTGGGGTCTGAGATTAGTCAGTTTGTCTATTAGATTTTTCCAGTGTTCTTTTCACTTCATTTATTCCTTCTTTTCTAAGGAACTGAGAAACAGTAAATGTATAGCAAGTCACCAAGTCTTGATGTCATCAGACATTTTGTAAAATCAGGATATCAAAATGTTTTATGTAATCTGCTTTTATATTGGTTTTAAATAATGTGAATGTCATTTCTAATTAATCTGATGTGTACCACCCATTTGTTCTAA